TAAAACACCACTTTTTCTAGATTTCAATCTTCTCACATCTATGACTCCAGCTGTTTTTAGTTCTTCCTTAATTTCATCTAGTGTACAATTCATAAGATCTCTGCAGTAGATCACACCTTTAGACTTATTCAAACTTATATGCGGGGTAACTATTACATCCATATCAGTAAATCTTTTTACAGCTAACAATCTTTTTGTCTGTGCATTACTAGACGTTTGAACAAGTAGACCTTCTTTTATCTTCTTTACAGATCGGATTTCTCCAACTAATCCGTATAGCGTTTTCGAAATCACAAATGGACTCACTTTGTCAAAACCTTCAGAAGACGTTTCTCCTGTCCTTTTAACAAGCAGGAACCGGGGCATTAATTCCACCGTCTCGTTGCCAGTGCCAGTGCCCGTTTTGTGGAGGGCGGGCGCCTCCGTTTGTTTGTTATAAGACATATCCATATTTGTCCCACGAGAATGGGAAGAAACAATGGTCACCTGCAGCAGTGCTCCCATACTACAGGAAGGCTAAGTACAACCAGTGTTGCCAGGCACCTGGAGGGCACCGTTCGAGACTCGCTACGTGCAGCCATTCACCCCTAGGCACGGTCCGCCTTGCACCGTAGGTTCCGGATTTCGCAGGTTGTCTCCTGTTCTGGAAGGGGTAAGATAAAAGGGAAAAGAAGGATGAGGGATAGGAAAGAGGGGGGTAAAGTCCAGGGTTTGGTAGAATGAGCAAGACTACCAAATCCCGAAACTCCCTGACTGGGGCCGTGGGGGCGACGCTCCCCATGTATCTTCCCTTGAAAGTGGATCAACGATCCAGCTTCAAAAGTAGATACCCCCTGCGGGGTATAATCATTATTATTACTATAATTATTGTTGTAATTGTTATTATTACTATTATAATAATAATTATTATTATTATTATTATTATTATTATTATTATAATCATTATTATTATTATTATTATTATTATAATTATTGTAATTATTATTATTATTATAATTATTGTAATTATTATTATTATTATTATTATTATTATTATAATTATTATTATTATTATTATTATTATTAGTATTATGTAATTATTATTATTACTATTATTATAGTAGTAGTTCTTGCGATTATGCAGCATCGACTACTGGGTCATTAGCTGCCTGTCGTTGTGTGATTCAATTTTGGTTGAGTATAATTAGAGTTTCCAGTAAAAGCCCGTGCATTTCAGAAACGATATCGTGTTTTTTATTAAATCAGGCTTTTTCAGATTTTCTGCGAAATCTCTTGACAGACCAAAACTGTTTCTAAGGTTGCTTAACGCTGGACATTCTATCATAATATGCACTGCAGTTAATCGTGCCTCGCATGACGGACAATTTGGATGGCCTTGGCCAGAGAGTAAGTAGGAATGTGTCAATGCTGTGTGGCCCAAACGCAGTCTAGGTATCCGGACGGCTTCTTCTCTACTCATCTTGACGTTAGGTGTCCATTTTGTTACATCAGGTTTTATTGTTCTTAGCTGAGTAAGTTCATTGTTCCACTGTCTTTGCCATGCTTCTGTTATGCATTGTCTAATTTTCATTTTCAAGTCTGGTGCTTTCACTATTGTACAGTCAATTCCAGTTGCGGCAGCAGCCTGCCTTGCAGATTGATCTGCCAGTTCATTTCCTAGTATACCTACGTGTCCTGGTACCCATATAAAGACTACCCTCTTGTCGCCATCCATCAACACCTTTAATGTCTGAAGGCATGCTAAGATTAACGGATCACGGGAATAACGATTTGACATAGCGTTTAGGGTGCTCAAAGAATCGCTGACTATAAGAGTAAGGTTGCTTTTTGACTCTATCTAGCAGTATTTAAGCGCCTGTAAAATTGCATACTGTTCGGCTGTGAAAATCGATGTCATTGGTGGGAGAGTCCATAAATGGGCTACCCCGTTTATGATAATCGAGCAACCAACTCCTGAGGCAGTTTTCGAACCGTCTGTGTAGATGGTTTCGGCACATGTGTACTGTTCCAGGATACCTTGAAAATGAGACCTCAGTTGTACTGTTGGTGTTTCCTTTTTGTGAAATTTAGTTAGCTCCGTGTTAACTTGTGCAGATGGGATCTGCCAAGATGGGGCTTCATTTTTGAGTGGATATACTGGCATTTTAGTCAAATTTAGCTCTCGAGATATTTCACAAATTCTCACACTGAGGGGTCTTGTGATAGTAGGCCTTCTATTATAGGTTTCATCATACGTACTTAACAGAGAGAAATTCCGATGATGTGGCGTAGCAGATGTACTGACTTCGTATGAGAGTATGAGTCTTTTTCTCCTTAGAGTTAATGGCTCGACGGCTGCTTCAGCGCAAAGGCTAGCTGCTCTCGTTGTACGGAATGCTCCAAGGCAGTACCGCAGTCCTAGGTTTTGGATAGTATTTAACTTATTGAGTGCAGTACGTCGAGCGGATGAGTACACAATGCATCCGTAGTCGATTTTTGATAGAACCAAGGACTTGTATATTTTTATTAGAACCTCTGTATCAGCTCCCCACCGGGTAGAACTCAGACACTTAATAACATTCAACGTTGACTTACACCTATAGATTAATTCTGCAATATGACATTTCCACGTTAACTTTGAGTCAAATATCAATCCCAAAAATCTCATAGATGTTTCGTTGGGAATTAACTGGCCTTGTAGATAAAGTAGTGGCCCATCATGCTGACGTTGGAGTCTGCAGAAATGTACGCACTTTGTTTTGGTATTTGACAATGTGAAACCACTGTTTATGGCATTTTGGCTTATTTTGTTTATTGCTGTCTGCAAGTTACCAGAAATCTCTTCAATGGAAGGGCCTGATGATAGTATACACAAATCGTCAACGTATAGACATCTGTCCACCACCGGATTTATGGACTCGGCAAGTTTATTAATAGCAATCGCAAAAAGCGTAAGCTAAGTGTCGATCCCTGTGGTATTCCATTTTCCAAGGTGTGGACTGTTGAAAGAGTGTTTCCTACACGTACTTGAAAACGCCTGTCTGTAAGGAAGGATTCTAAAAATTTTGGGAGATTTCCTCTAAAGCCCCAGTTGTGCAGTTGGTATAGAACATCATATCTCCAGACCATATCAAAAGCTTTTTCTATGTCAAAACACACAGCTACTGTGTGGTGACGGTTTTTAAACCCATTTTGGATGACATTCTCTACATAGACAAGTTGATCCACTGTAGACATATTTTTTCTAAATCCTGCCTGGTAATCAACAAGTAAGCCATTTTTTTCAAGAAACCACGACAGGCGCTCATTTACCATTCTCTCTAATATTTTTCCGAGACAGCAAGTAAGACTTATGGGCCTATAACTTTCAGGCAAGAGTGGATCCTTTCCGTGTTTAAGAATGGGAATGACGATTGCAAGTTTCCAGTCTTTTGGGTATATTCCTGCAAGCCATATCCTGTTGTATATGTTGAGGAGAGTAAGCTTGAGATGGAGAGGGAGATGACGGATCATCTCATAATTTACCATATCCGGACCAGGAGCTGATCGATTTGTCTTTTTAAGGCTTCTTCTAGCTCAAACAGTTGGAATGGCTCATTATACGCTAAAGATACGTCTGTTGAAAAGTCTAATGGTAATTCCCTTGCATTTTTGGTGGACCTGAACTCGCGACTATAGTTTTCCGAGCTGCTGACGGTAGCAAATTTATCTGCTAGTAAATTACAGACCTCATTTGTGCTGTTAATGATGTTGCTGTTACAGGTCCGCAGATGTGTGATTTGCCTAACTGATTGTCTACCATACACGGCTCTGACTTTATTCCATACTTCACTTGCTGTCGTTTCAGTAGTAATAGTGGAGACATATTCTCTCCATGATTTTCTCTGGCTTTCTAGAATAAGACGTCGCGCTTTAGCTCTAGCTTTCTTAAAAGATATCATGTTTGATACCGTGCAGTTCCTCTTAAAAATATTGAGTGCACGCTTTTTTGATCTCACGGCATCGGATATGTCAGAGTTCCACCATGGTAACCGACGGCCTCTTGGAGATCCACCACCAAGCGGAATGCTGTTCACCGCAGCCTGATGTATCAGCTGAGTAAAACTATGAATACCAATGTTATTATCTTGTACAGGACTCACAATTGATAAGTAGTCTTCGAATTGCTGCCAGTTTGCCTTTGACATCAACCAGTATTGTGGTACTTGGGGACTACTTCTAGATATGTCAAAGGACGTGATACAAGGAAAATGATCACTATGATACATGTCATCTAGAGCTCTCCATTGGAGGCGATCGGCTATGGATGTTGAACTGATCGCTAGATCAATCGCAGAGAAAGATCCGGAACGAGCAGCCAGATGGGTGGACATTCCTGTATTTAGCAACATCAGATCTTCTCTGTCTAGTAAGTTTCCTATCAATTCTCCTCGGTGATCTAAACGTCCTGATCCCCACAGGGGATTATGCGCATTGAAATCTCCAATGAGCAAGAATGGTGCTGGGAGCTGAGATATAACGTTTTCGATGTCACCAAGTCGCCAATTTCCATCAGGTAGGTATATATTACGGACAGTTACCTTTACAGGAACTGTTATTCGAGCTGCAACAACTTGTAGTGCTGAGTTTACACATAAAGGCTCAAAACAGACATCCTCACGTAAAATTATCGCAACTCCTCCATGTGCTCGCTCGACAGCTGCAACATCTTTTCTCAAGATGTTATATTTTCTAAGAGAGTAAGTTTGATTTGGTCTGAGATGGCTCTCTTGAATACATAAGCACATTGGATCATGATTTTGTAAAAGCAGCCTAAGCTCACAGTACCGTTGGACAATTCCATTGCAGTTCCACTGTATGATTGATTCCATTGCAATTTTAAGAGTTTAAATGTATGTAAATAAAATACTTTCACAACAAATAAATAAAATAAATAGTATGTAGGGATGGACGGTACATAATAAATAAAAATAAATAGTTTTTTTTTTTAAATAGAGTTGATATAAGTGATATAGCATCACTCACGGGGCAGTCCTTTTAGGCCTGCCCCGTTTTTTTGTTGGATTTGAGTTGGGGTCCAGAGCAGATGAATCATCATCTGTAGTGGAGTCCCCTGGTTTTTTTCTTTTTTCGGACGCTGCCGATAAATTTGTAGAGACAGAATCAGATCTATCTCTACGGAAGATTAGCCCTGATGATGGGGCTTTAAAATGGTCGCACTTAGATGTAGAACATGAGATTACGTTTCTAACTGCAGTTTCGATATGAGGAATTATTGTTGATATGATCTGCTGAATGTTCATTTCTGATGACTTTTGGACGGCAGCAGAATAGGACGTAGTAGGTTTTGGAGTGGTTATATTTACTTTTCTTTTTGCTTCTGCATATGTTATGTTTTCCATTACCTTTACTTTCTGTATTGCTGCTTCAGCTTTTAGTTTTGGGCAATTCATATAAGCTGCTGAATGTGGACCTTCGCAATTTACGCATTTTTTGGGCTCCGGGCAAGGACCTTCATGTGGAGGATTACCACATGGACATATTTTTTCCTTCTGACAGTTTCCAGCTGTGTGACCTAAAGCTTGACAGTTGAAACACCTGGTAGGTGGTGGAATATAAGGCCTTACATTTAATTTATGGAACGCAACGCTGATTTCCTTTGGTAAGACAGTTTTCCTAAATGTCAGCACGTGATTTGGAGTTTCAACCAGTTCTCCATTTCTTTTACTCTTTAGCCTTCTTACGTGTATGACACCATCACCTTTCAGTTCATCCAATATCTCCTCAATCGAGCAGTTGAGCAAGTCTCTGCAAAAAATCACGCCTTTTCGGGTATTGAGGGACTGGTGTGCCTCAATACTCACATCAAATTCTCCAAACTTTTTTACCTGGAATAGTCGCATAGTCTGCTGTGTAGATTTAGTTTCAACAAGGAGACCTTCTCGAACCTTTCTCACTAACTTTACTTCACCAACAATTCCATATAATGTCTTTGATATAACAAAAGGGCTCACTTTATCAAAATTATCGCTTTCTCTTTTAACAAGCAGAAACCGGCGGCAATCGCCCACCGTCCTCACGCCTGCTGAAGGACTGGAAAGTGCTCCCCCAGCACTACCCGTTTTTTGGAGGGCGGGCGCCTCCTGGATGTTTTGGTTTTGAGTAGGCTTCATCTTATTCCCACGAGTAGGCTCTGATATAATAATAATAATAATAATAATTATAATAGTAATAATTACAATAATTATAATAATAATCATAATTATAATAATAATAATAATGATAATAATCAATAATAATAATAATAACTATAATGATAATTGTAATAGTAATAATTACAATAATTATAATAATAATAATCATAATTATAATAATAATAATTATTATAATAGCAATAATAACAAAAATATAATAATAAATAATAATAATAATAATTACATTAATAATAATAATAATAATATCACTATAATAATAATATAATTATATAATAATAAAATTACAATAATTATAATAATAAAATAATAATTATAATAAGCATTATAATAATAGTAATAATAATAATAGTTATAAATATAATAATAATTACAATAATTATAAAAGTAATAATAATAATAATAATGATAATAATAATTATAATTTTAATTACAATGATTATAATAATATAATAATAATCATAATAATAATAATAATATTATAATAGTAATAATTACAATAATTATAATAACATAATAATCATAATTATAATAATAATAATAATAATAATAATAATAATATTACAATAATAATAATAATAGTAATAATAATAATAATTACAATACTTATAATATAATAATAATCATAATAATAATAATAATAATAAGGGGTCTGGCCGGTAAGGGGACTGCCGCCAGCAGTTTCAAACCCGCTACCGTAACGACGTAGACGGTACAGCCAGCAACGCAACGTCTGGCCTCGACCAAGTGGTTGAGCTACTGTTATTAACACCGAAGGAAAGTCAGTACGGCCAGCACACCTCCTGTTCATCCAGGCGTGGTTTTTGTCTCTCTTCCACGCCTGAGTTTAAACACTTTTAGGTAAACAATTATACCTACCTATCAAAAGAGAACACAATTACCCAGAAATGGAGAAAAAACAAAATGAAGCCTCGGAATGTAACGACGTAATCGGGACTCGACGCTATGCGACGAGGTCCGCGTCCGGCAGGGAGCGTAGGGGAAGGTCGCACCCGGTCGTCATCCAGCGAAAGCCCCCCACAGATAGTGTGAGAAGTAACTCGAATGACCCCATCCAACAGCTTCCTGGGGTCGAAGATGGCAATCATGTTGCTGGAAGCCAAGAGCCCCAGCCCATAATGCCAGACAATAGGAGGAGAAAAAGAACCACGTGGACCACTGAAATGAACAGATTTGTGGTTCGCTTCTACTACAGAATAACTAAATTAGAAACATCTACAGAGCCCTATGGTACTGAACTACACAGACAAGTTATCATGAACTTCCCTCACCTGCAAGGCAAAACTGTGCAAAACGTACTAGACCAGCGCCGATCCGTATTCATAAACAACAGATTGCCGGCAGAGGAGATAAACAAAATAAGAGAAGAGATATCCATAGAATTAGGAATGCAGGTACAAGCTCCGGAAGAGCACACAGAAAACCAAGAACAAATTGAGATAAACGATGGCCAACCATCTAAATACGCAGATGAGTTCAGGGGCTTGTTCATGAAGTATGATGGTGTGGAACCAACTCTTAAACCAAGCCTACCAAAGCTAATAATAAAACCCCATACATCTGAGTATATCGCTGAAGTTAACAAAGTAATAGATAACGAGATTACAGAAGATACAACCTTGACTGAGCTCCATAGCCTGTTGTACATTGGAGCACTTACAGTCCTAAAATTAAATGAACAGAGAGTTGGCGAACAATGTGTAATGAAAAACAGAAAACTGCCAGCCTGGGAGTTGAGGATATCGCGTAATATAGAGGAGATTAGAAAGGACATAGCAATACTCACCCAGTACCGCAGGTCTGACTGTAGTCTGAGAGTAACGAGATCCGCAGAGAATGTGATAAACCGTCACTGCTCGGAGGAGAACCCAACAGCCGTAGAAGTCTTGGACTACCTGAAGCAAAAACTAGCAGCTACAGCACTGCGACTTCGAAGGTACAAGAAAAGCAACGAACGCCGGAAACAAAACCGAGCATTCGAGACCAATCAGCGAGGCTTTTACAGGAACTTGCAGGCGCGACGGAGGGATACAGATCAGAACAACGTTCATATTCCTACCTCAGATGCCATCAATACCTTCTGGTCAGGAATTTGGAGCAATCCAATCAATCATTCCACATCTAAATGGTACCGCCAAGAGAAAGCAAATAATTCAACTTTTAGGACCATGCTCGACTGGAAAGTAAGCTTAGATGACGTGGTAAATACTCTACGAAAATTACCAAACTGGAAAGCCCCAGGATCAGATAAGCTTCAGAATTATTGGCTAAAAACGTTCACTTCAGCTCACGATCGACTCGCAAAGTGTTACACCTCAATCTTAGAGCAACCAGATATGTTGCCAGAGTTCTTAACAATGGGAATAACATATTTAATCCCAAAGTGCGGCGATCACTCGAACGATCCGGCAAAATACCGACCAATCACCTGTCTGCCGACTATTTACAAGGTATTGACTGCTATAATTACTGAAAAGATATATTCACACCTAGAGCGGAATACTATACTAGACGAAGAGCAAAAAGGTTGCCGAAAAGGGTCTCGAGGCTGTAAAGAGCAACTTGTTATAGACTCTGTCATAACTAATTATGCCAAAAAGAAAAAAATACCCCTGTACATTGCATACATCGATTATCAGAAAGCGTTTGACAGTATACCTCACTCTTGGCTGTTAGAGGTGCTTGACCTTTATGGGATCGAGTGCCACATCAAACAATTTCTGGCACATGCTATGGCGAATTGGAAGACACGGCTCTATCTCAACACCCAAGATACGCAATTCAGTGCCGGAGAGGTATCCATCAAGAGAGGAATATTTCAAGGAGACTCTTTAAGTCCGCTATGGTTCTGCTTAGCACTTAGACCGTTAACAACAATGCTAAATAGCCAAAAGAAAGGAATACTGTTAGGTGGCAATGAAACACGCATTTCACATCTTTGGTACATGGACGACCTCAAACTTTTTGCAGAAACCAAAGAACATCTTCATAAGCTTCTGGACTGTGTAAGCAAATTCAGCACTGACATCAAGATGCTGTTTGGCTTAGACAAGTGCAAGATCAGTTGCATGGTAAAAGGCCAGTGGAGTAAACATTCAGGATATGAGCCGAACCAAGTGCAAGGGAAAATTGAAGGAATGCAGCAAGATGAACAGTATAAATACTTAGGCTATCTACAAGCGCCGGGCATAGACCAGAAAGCTGCAAAAGAAAAGGCAATGGAGCACTATAGAACACGTTTGAGGGCGGTGCTGAAAACAAGTCTGTCAGCTCGTAATACAGCACTTGCTGTCAGCACCTACGCTACTTCGGTCCTTACCTATACGTTTGGCATACTGAACTGGACGGATACAGAACTGAACGCACTTAATGTGGAAACCAGAAAAGAATTCCGTAAATACCGGGGACACCACCCACATAGTTCCATAGAGCGGTTCCATCTACCACGAAGTGAGGGTGGCAGAGGAATACCTTGCATACCTACACTACATCACCGCCAAGTGGACAATCTACGCCAGTACTTCCTCCAAAAAGCCACATCCAGCAGAATGCATCAAGCAATAACACAGATGGATAAAAAGTTGACACCACTAAACCTATCAGAAAAATCTTTCGACCCTGAGGCAAAGATAACCCCAATGCAGGATCTGGTTCGCCAATGGAAAGCCAAACCGCTACATGGTCGGTATAGGAGCCGCATAGAAGACAACGCCATTGACACGAAGGCTTCCCAAGGATGGTTGCAGTCAGGTAATCTGTTCCTGGAGACGGAGGGCTTCATAGCCTCCATCCAGGATCAGGTAGTCCCAACAAAGTTGTACCGAAAGCGTATAATGCATGAGAACGTTGACGATATCAGATGCCGCATATGTGGGGAAAAAGATGAGCACATAGATCATATTGTAGCAGGGTGCTCTCCCTTAGCTCCTAAACAATATCTTGAAAGGCACAATGATGTGGCCAAAATACTTTATCAAGCTTTGGCTAAAAAGCATCTAGGAGAAACTGGTACACAGCCCTACTATAAATACACGCCGCCACCTGTGATAGAAACGGAGACCTCTAGGCTGTACTGGAACCGTAAAATCATAACTGACAGGCCCATCCCCAACAATATTCCTGACATAGTGCTCACACTAAAAGAAGAAAGAACGACGTTTATAATAGACATAGCTGTGCCTCTTCCTACTAATATCCAAACCACCCATGCGGAAAAAATCAATAAGTATTTGCCACTCTCCGACGAAATCAAACGCATGTGGGAAATGGGCAATGTGTCTATAATACCAGTTATAATAGGAGCTACTGGAGAGATACCAAGGAAACTACACAAGAGTCTGGAAAAGCTACAGCTCCATCCAAAAT